GACTGGTCGACCACCTGCCGGTCGATTTCCTGAATGTTCGATCTTCCCGCCTTTGGGCTTGGCTCCCTCTTGGTTTAACCTTCTCGGCCGGCCCAGCAGACCGGTTTAGCCTTGTGTATATAATATCCCATATCAATCTCTTTCTTCAAGAAAAGACATGTATGAAGTTTGATTGACGATCTGATTTCAAAATAAAAAAATGAACAAATGCATCAATTACATTTCTACAAAAATTAGAATTGAAGAAAAAAATCCTAAAAAGAGTATACTTAATATTGAATATTCATTTCCCATAGGCACAAAACAAAAACACTTTCCAGTAAAAAAACACTTTCAAGTCACATTAGACCCGTTGAACATATAAGATCCAAAAACACTACACCTTAATACAAAAACAAATTCTCAATAAATCAAAAATATTGGCACAATCCAAGGAACATAGCACTCTAAAACCTCAACATACAAACGAAGGCACCAAATGCACTCTGCAAAAGGGAAACATACTCATTCCACCAAAATTCTTAAATTCAATTTGAAAACAATGGAACATTAATAGAAACTTAACGGGGAACAAAAAGCTAGCAATAAAATACTTATGCAGGACCAGGAAACTTATTGCGAATACACACACCAATTTACAAAACAATAAAGAACCAACCAACAACCATTTTCAACATTCATTTTATAAACAAACCCTTAAAATGATTTTATAAAGACGAGGTTTTTATAAATATTTTGATGCACCAACCTTAAATCATTTAATTTCTACCAAACTTCCACGCAAAATTTTCCTCTTCAAAAAGGGCACACAGACCACATCAAATGTGCACAAAAAAAAAAGAAATGAAAAGGAAAACAACAACGGTTGCTGGACCAACATTGACGATGAACTAAGCACAAAACAACCATCAATACACCAAGCACAAAGAAAATGCAAACACCACATTGTTATTCAAACATTACAGCACCATTACAGCAAAATCGAATAAACCAATTCAAGTTTAACCAATTGACAAATATATTTTAATTGAACTCAAAATACAAATTTTAACTAAAAAACTCTCAAAATTCAGTAATTTCGGACCAAACACCCTGAATCAAACCTAACCCTTTTCGAACCAAAAACCCTAAATCGGCCCAAGAATTCTGTAATTTCGGACAATGAGAGACGGAGAGTACCGTGAGGCCGAATAGAGAGAGAGCCGACGAGAGAGAGAGAGCCGACGAGAGAGAGAACCGACGAGAGAGAGAGAGAGCCGACGAGAGAGACGGAGAGAGAGAGAGAGAGAGAGCCGACGAGAGAGAGAGCAGTCGAGCGGAATTCTGTAATTTTTCGCCGATATAGAGAGCCGAGAGAGAGAGACAGAGTACAGAATGTACCGTTAGGCTGACGAATTTTGTAATTTCTCGCCGATGAAGATGGTGAAATTTGTCTCCGATACAGAGAGAGAGAGTTGTGGGCGGGGTTCAAAAAAATGAAATTGAAGATGATGAAAAAAAGTGGGAAAATAGAGAAAAAATGAAAATGGGAAAAAGATGATAAAATTGTGTCTAAGGGCAATTGTGTCTTCTCACATGCCCAAATGGCTATATTTCATCTTTCTTAGAAAGTTGGCTAGATTTCATTTTGTGTTTTGTTGGAGTGCTATAAAGCACCATTACCACTTTTTAGATTATGAGTTAATTTTTAGTTTCAGCATGTTCATGTTCAATGTTCAACATTCATGAGAGTAATATACAATTGCAAATTTATCACACCGGTCAAAACGCGAAATAACTCGCGACAAAGGGTACGTTAATTAACTCATAGGCTCTTCTTTTTACTCATCGTTTTAAGTCGAGTTAAATAACTTTCATGAATGTTGAACATGAACATGCTGAAGCTGAAAATTAACTCATGGTACTTATCTCGAAGTACTATAAGTTAATTAACTTATCAACTGAGCGGTGTGAGATTTTTTTAAGTATAAATAGGTCTCTTGCCTTTAAGTTACAATTCCCCCCATCCTTTATGCCAAAAAAAAAAATAAAAAAAATTACAATCACACCTTATTCTATACTCTCATATTTTAGAAGAAAATCCTAATTTGTAAATTATTTAACTTTAGTTTTATTCATTGGTGAGTTTAGTATATTTGACTTTACGATTAGCAGTGCCCAAAGACGTAGGCAATATTAACTAAACTCCGTTATCAATTTGGTGTTTTTTTTTTCTCGTCCTTTATTTATTTGTATTAGCTTATATTCTTTAGGAGTAGTGTTTATCATATTTGTTGTAAAAGTATTTTTGTCCGCAACGCTTGCTATTCAACCCCAACAAATATATCAAACAAATATAATAAGTTTAACAATTAGTCAAGCTGTAAGTAAAAATCTGTACTTATATTAAAAGCCATACTATTTACCAAAAATAGTAGCAAAAAAAGTCAACTCACATTTAATGCATACTTTATTTAGAAATTTTTTATTATATGCATTAATTGCTTGCATGTATACATTTCCTATTCAAATATGATCAAAAAGATTCTTTCCTTATATAATTTTATTAACTTCTGCAATGATTTTACTGATATATATTATAATTCATATTTGTCGATAGTATTTTTTAATTTTTATTTGAGTATATAAAAAACAAATATTTTTTTTAAACTAATACATTATTGATCATTTAAGAGATAATGATCACATCATTAAATGATATTACTGATGGCTAGATAATAAATTAAAATACATTAATTATTCTTTAAAATTGTGGCATGTTATTTATTTGTATCTATACTTATTATATAAGGTATCCTATTTACCAAATTTAGTAGATTGAAAAGGCAACGTAATTAATGCATTGCTATTTCTATCCATAATTTTATTTAATTATTTTATTTATTTGTCTTATATCCCATAAAATCAGTTTAAGAAAAAAAAAATCCCATAACATCTGACAAGTAAAAAAAAAACACATAAAATCTTTACTAAAATAAAAAGACTTTATTTATTTATCTTATTTCATATTAACATCGATTTTGTCAAAATAAATCTCATAAAATCAGTGAAGTCAAAATTTGTACGTAAAGTCTATCTATCCCAAAAAAAAGTCAGATTCAAAAATCCTTATCTAATTTCTTCTTTTTCTTATCTAATTCATTCTTTTCCTTATCTAATTCCTTTTTATTATCTAATTATATGAAAATCTGTTTTGATTTTGTTCAATCCTCTAATTGTATTTGTATTATATTCCATAAAATCGGTTTAACAAAAAAAATCCCATAACATCCGACAAGTAAAAAAACAAAGTACGTAAAATCTTAACAAAAATAAAAAGGCTTTATTTATTATCTAATTTATTATGGTACGTACTACAAATTTTACACCCGTGTTCAGGAGCTACTTAACAGGCAAGCTCTGTGGAAATGACTCATTTCTCGTACATACGGTATGTATTTTTATTATACATACTAGAAAATTGTGCACCTCATACATCGCACGGGCTCTGTACTAATAAATAACCTTAAAATTGTGCACCCCGTGTATCACCTGTGTTCACATTTTGGCCTATTACAGGTCACGTACTATATATATCCCGTACATTTTTTTTATTCATTTATATAATTATAAGAATGGATAAGTGACTAAAAATTGTGCACCCCGTGCATCGCACGGGCTCTGTACTAGTTATATAAGAAAGAAGCACAGTAACAAAACACACCAGCAATTAAGAGCCACAGAATCATTACAAAGTAAACCGATTCAAAAAGTGAGTGCAAACCACATTTGAAGGGTTTA